GAGCTAGTGCACATGTGTATTAAGTTTTGGGACCCTTGGTGTGTTTGATACGGCACATTCCCACCCGGGCACATTCCCACCGGGACCGGCTGCCTTACAAGGGCTCACTAGCCAAACGTAGCCAGTGGGGCTGGTCTTGGGCAATCGGGACAGGCAACTGACTCTTCCATCTCCCCCTGGGGGCATAGATGGGTGGATGGTCACCACGTCCAGTGGGGCAGCATTTGGCCTCAGGCGCTCATCCGACCCTGTGCTCTGGCTCTGGTGGCCGGGACAATCCGACTGAAGTAGGAGTTGGAAGCCTGAGGCTGGGGCCTAATGAAGAAGAAAAGCCCTTGGGACCCAAGTCTGGCCAGAGGAGTCGACCTGGTGGCAGCCAGTGGGTGTGGGATGAGGTGGCTGAGAGCCGAGGGATCAGAAGCCCACAGGCCTTCATTGTGCGCCTGTCACACTTCCTCTGGCTTTATTGCTTTTGTCCAGCACCCTATTGTCTGGTTTCCTTTTGTCCCGGCTTTCAGCCCGGCTGCCTTTTATTTTCCAGCCAGCCTGGTTGTTTTCATTTCTTTTGTCTGAAGTTCCTGAGAGGAAGGTTTTATTTTCAGCGGTTTGATTAATTCACAGCTTGAGCCCGGGTTTGTTTGTTATGTAATTGCTGCCCTCAGCTCCAGGATAATGCCCCCGCCCCCACTCCTGCCCCCTGCGGGGCCTGCCTCCCGGCCCCTCCCCTGCCGGATAGGCGGAGCTGCCTGCTTTCTGCAGGTTCTCCAGGCAGCACCCCCCCTCCAACACACACACCCCTGGGCCTAGCTGGCCTGAGGTCTGTTTTCTCTTCATCCAGGTGAGATGGGGCCCAACCAGGGTCGGCTCGCCTTCTCTTGCCCGGCGCTATCCTGGGTTCCTGAGGCACCTTGTACTCAGAAAGCGGGTGGGGGAGTCTGCTGTCCTCTGATCTGTGGGATACAATCAAGTCCAATAAATATGTATACATCTCAGTCGATTATAATATTCCTGTAGCTATTCGTAAAACACCTTATGTATTCTGTTGCATACCATAAAGCTGTAATATTGTATGATTCAGTACACAGTACCAGAATAGTTGGTGTAATAATCTATAGATTACAGTATGCCCTGTGCAGAATGGATATGATATACAAATGCACGAGTCAATTTATTTTCAGCCTCACTTAACAGGGCTTCAGGTGTCCACCGTGATCTGAAAGTATTAGATGGAAAACCTTAGAAGTAAATAATTCATAACGGTTTTTGTTTTGCTTTAAATTTATTTATTGTGTGTGTGAGGAAGAGAGGGAGATATTTGTGTCTGGGCGTGAATGGAAGTCAGATGACAGTTCTGGATTGATTCTTCCCTTCTACATTTATGTGGGTTCCAGGAGTAGAACTCAGATATCCAGGCTTGCGTTGTTGGACAGCGATCACCTTTACCTGCTGAGGCATCTTGCTGGCTTCGTTTTGGGTTTTAGAAGCAGGGTCTATGGGCCCGGGCTGTCTCTTAACTTGCTTGCTATGTCGGCGAGGATGACCTTGAACTTGTGACCTTCTTGCTTCCACCTCCAGAGTTCTGGGATCACAGGTGTGTACCCCCACACCTAGTTTTTTTTAATATGGTGCTGGGGATGGAGTCCAAAGCTTGATGCATGCTAGGCAAACACTCTACCACTGAGTTACATCTCCATGCCTGTGCGTGTTTAAAATAGCATATTATTCTCAGTAGCATGATGGAATCTTACATTTTCTGGGTTGTGGACCATCCTCTGTCCAATGTATCCACACAATACGCGGGTCAGTTGGGTGGCATCTCCTTCAGTCAGCCGTTGTGACTGGCGCTTGGGCGGTGTTTATATTCAGGCCTCTCCTGCTTTACTCAACGGTGGCCCTAACCTGCAAGTCAGAGTGCTTGATTGGAGAGGTGAGAGTTGAGGCTGGAGAGAGAGACGGCTCATCGGTTAAGAGCACTTGGTCCTCGTGCAGAGGACCGGGATTTGGTTCCCAGTACCCACATGGTTGCTCACAATAACCCGTAATTCCACTTCAGGACATCTGATACCTTCTCTGGCCTCCATGGGCACCTGCACATGCATGTGCACAAACATTCACTCAGGCACACACACACACACACACAAAGGTGAAAGTTCTCAACGGAGGGGGGGATTGGTTTGCTAAAGTTGATAAAACCCAGTAAGACCGTGGAATCGTGAAGAAAGGAAAAGGATTTTATGTCATTTTTTTTGCTGCAACTCGAACTGTAAATGCAACAGCTGTGGTGTGGGACCCCAACTTGATTGTGCTGCGGAGTGGGATGTGGGACCCTGGCTTGGTTGTGCTGGGGAGTGGGGTGGCTACACGAGCCCACTGGGGGGATGCCCCATAAGGTGGCACTAGTGTGCCACACTGCCTCTTGTTTAAGGGTCTGTTACTGATCTGATGGTTGCTCTTTAATCCCTCTACGTCTAAGTCCGTGTATTTTTTACCCTTGCAGAGGCTGGGAAGGCGAGTGCCTTCTTGCTGCACCACTCCATGGCAGGAGGGCACAGGGCTACCAGTCAACTCTAATAAACTCGCTTTTCCAATACCACTACATACCCACCCACCCACCCCCCACCCCTCGGCTCTGACCTAATCACCTCTGGTGAGGCCCCACCTCCTGACACTTTTGCTGGAGGCCAGACTGTAGTAGAATATTTTAAGATGTGTTACGTATTGCATTTGTTTAACTCTGTGAAGCTGTGTTACTGTGCCTTTGTAAAACACCTGGTGGTCTAATAAAGAACTGAATGGCCAATAGCAAGGCAGGAGAAAGGATAGGAGGGGCTGGCAAGCAGAGAGAATCTATAGACGGAGAAATCTGGGAGGAGTGATCTAAGATCTAGTAGCCAGAGGAGGAGGATGACTCCGGGGCCCTGCCACCAAGCTACACAGCAAGCCGCGGAATAAGAGTAAGATTTACAGAAGTTAGAGAAAAGGAAAAGCCCAGGGGTAAAAGATAATTGGGATAATTTAAGATGAGGAAAGCTGGCTAGAAACTTAGCCAAACCAAGGCCGGGCATTCATAATTAAGAATAAATAAGTCTCTGTATGATTTATTTGGGAGCTGGATGGTGGGCCCCCCAAAAAAGAGCCAAAAGACCCCCAACAATACCAAACCCTTGTGTGCTCCTGGAGCCCAGTGCCCATCTCTGAGTGCTTGTCTGGGGACCAGAGAGGGTGGCAGCTGCTGCTCTGGCCTCGAGCCTGAAGTAACCCTGGAGACTGCTCTCCAAAGTCCTGCAGATGCTCACCCTCTGGTGGCACTGGGCAGTGTGGTAGGAGAGAAGGCAGCTTCCCAAGAGTCTACCAAGCATATTGCAAGTTGGGCATGGTGGCACAGACCTGTGATCCCGGCACTTGAGTTCAAGGCCATCCTTAGCTACATAGTGAGTTCAATGCTAGCCTGGGCTATCTGAGATCCTGTCTTGAAAAACAAAACCAAACCATAAAAACCCTAGGGGTTGGGGACTGGCAAGATGGCTTAGTTAGCCACTAACTAAGAGCACTTGCTGTTCTTGCAGAGGATCTGGATTCAGTTCCCAGCACCCACAGGGTGGCTCACAACCAACCGTATGTAACTCCAGTTCCAGGGGATCTAATGCCCTCTTCTGGGCTCAGAGGGAATTCAGGCATAAATGTGGTACGCATATATACGTACGGGCAAAACGCCCATATACATTAAAGTAAATAAATATTAAAAAGTTATTTCGGGAGAAAAATAACAACCAAGGGGCTGGGAGATGACTTAGCAGTAAGAGTGCTTGCTGCTCTGCAGAGAACCAGAGCTGGGTTCCCAGTAGCCCCTCCAGCTTCAGGAGATCTGACGCCCTCCTGTGGCCTCTCCTGGCACCCACATGCACATATCCACACAGTCACATAATTAAAAATGAAGAATAAATCTTTAAAAAAAAAAATCCTCCCCAAATCCCCAAACCTGGCACTACAGATAGCAATGCCAGCAGGGGCAGACTCCACCAGGGACTCTAGCTAGAGAGCAGAACGTATTTCTTGAATGCCGTCCATCTATATTTTACAGCCCATATCAGATATGTGCCAAACGGGTATGTGCAAATATAAGAAACGTTTCGCTTTGCCTTGCTCCTACATTGAGAAGAATAGAGTTGGCTGTAGCTCGGTGGTGGAGCAGGAGCTTAGCCTGTGTGGGGTCCTGGATTTGATCCTCAGGTCCACTATAAAGAATAAATAAATGTCTTGTACTGAGGAGTTGGTTCTTGCTTCCTTTCGGTCAAGTTGGGGACTAAGGCAAACTTGACTGTGTGTGAGGGTGCCTGCCAATTCTAGCCAAGTTGGCCCCTGGGCTGGAAATTCAAATCTGGACTTTTTTGGAGGGGGGGCTAGGGGAGAACAGGGTCTCACTGTGTAGCTCTGGCTGTCCTGGAACTCGCTCTGTAGACTAGGCTGGCCTCGAACTCACAGAGATCCGCCCGCCTCTGCCTCCTGAGTGCTGGGATTACAGGTGTGACCCACTATGCCCAGTCTTCAGATCCAGTCTCTTATAATGCTGGCACTTGCTTTTAAGTCTTAGTAACTAGCTCCAGTACATATGTTTACACACATCCAGTGTTCGGTCATCGTGGGTTCAGAAGCAGTCAGTTAACCTTTTCTGACTTCTTCAGTTGATCCCATCAGCTTAGCAGCATGGCAAGAAACAGGGAGTGTTCAGTTAGCATGTACAAGGCCCTGGCGCCACAAAAGAAAAAACGAGAGTGAATACCAGAGGTGGGATCCCTAGATAGATTTTAAAAACGAAAAAAATAAGAAAGCAGGTTCCAAAGTAGGCTCATGTTTTAGACATATGCATCTTTGAGGGGTGCCAGGAGATGCTTGGGTTGGGGAGACAAAGGATGGAGGCACCTGTGGGAGGGGGGCAGAGTGGGTTTATAACTGGGCCCTGGGCCTCACTCACTCCGCGTCCTCTGCCCTTCCTCCTGCAGGATGTCCATGCAGAGCCCCGTCTCTGTGCAGCTGGCCCCCGACAGTGCTAGCACCATGGTGAACTGCACCATCAAGTCTGAGGAGAAGAAGGAGCCTCACCACGAGGCCCCCCAAGACACAGCCACCGCAGTGGAGCCCCAGCCTGGAGACCCAGCCCTGGCTCCGAAGGATGCTGCCAGCTCACAAGCTCCAGCTCAGGTATCTAGCACTTTCTAGGGACCCCCTCAGTCACTGTCCCCACTCTGCCTTTGTGGCTTCACCTGGTGTGATCCACCTTTTCCACCAAGCCTACATGCTTTTGTCTATTCAGAAATGGTCTCTCCAGGTGAGCAGAGGGGCAGAGCCACCATGGTAAGGGCTAGAAGCTGGGTCACCTGTCAGAGCAGGACAGGGCTGTCTCCTTCCATCCCTGAGTAGCTGTTTCAGATTATGATTTCCTGAAGACGAGGGAACTGGGGTTGGAGAAAGGACTCCAAAGTGCCTGGTGCACGAGCATGAGGATGGAAGTTTGGATTCCCAGAATGCTTGTAAAAACCAAGAAAGTGTGGCAGCTGCCTGGAGGCAGAGACTGGGAGTCCCTGGAACAGGGGCACTGGGTTCAGGGAGAGACCAGCCTCAGTAAATAAAATGACAGGTGCTTGTCAAAGTTGGGCCTACATACCACACACACACACACACACACACACACACACACACACACACACACACACACACTCATCTGCCCACACTCACATGTGAACACACATACACAGAGAAGAGAACTGAAATATATGGTAGGGACTCTGCAGGTCTTAAACTTCTGTTTCTATACAGGAAATTGAATTTGATGACTAAGGAGAAACTCAGTTTGGAAGAGTGGAGGTGATCAGGGAATACATCTTAGAGTGAGGGTCTAAGACACCGGGGGCATGGGTTAGATGAGACATGGAATGCTGCTGCTTCCGCTTCCTCTTCCCTCCTCGCTTCTCCTCCGTCTTCTCTTGTTTTTTTAGACAGGGTCTCTATTATGATCAGGCTGGCTAGGAACTCACAGAAATCCACCTGCCTCTACCGCTTGAGTTCTGAGACTAAAGGCATGTACCGCCATGCCCAGTTGAACACTTCTTTTTCATCCATTCATTTACTTATTTATATTTTTCAGATTTATTTATTTTATGTGTATGAGGTTTTTGTTTTGTTTTGTTTTTGTGTTTGTTTTTGTCTGAACGTGTGTAAGTGTGTCACATGAGTGCCTGGTGCCACAGAGGTCAGAGGAGGAGGAGGGTGTTAGATCCCCTGGAACTGGAGTGGTTGTGAGCTGCCATGTAGGTGCTGGGAACTGATCCTGGGTTCTCTGCAAGAGCAACAAATGCTCTTCATTGTTGAGCTGTCTCTTCAGCCCCTATTTTTGTTTAAAAATATGTGTGTGTGTGTGTCTGTCTGTCTGTCTGCCTGCCTGCCTGCCTCTCTGTCTGTTTGTTCAGGGGTCTGTGCACATGAGTTCAGTTGCCCTCAGAGGCCAGAAGAGGATGTTGGATATAATTGGAAGTTTCTTTGGGCCACCAACCAGTTCCCAAAAAAGACAAATGCTCAGCCTTAGCTTAGGCTTGTCCCACTAGCTCTTTTAACCTATTTAACCTGTTTCTCTTTATCTACCGTTTGCCTCGGGGCTTTTTACCTTCCTTCCATTCTGTATGTTTTACTTTCCTCTATATCTGGCAGGCTGGCCCTTGGCATCTCCCTGGCATCTCCTTTTCTTTCTTTTCTCTATCTCTCCTCTCAAGCCTAAGTTCCTCCTCCTACTTATTCTCCCTGCCTATACCTCCTCCCTCGCTATTGGCTGTTCAGCTTTTTATTAGACCAATCAGGTGCCTTAGGCAGGCAAGGTAAAACAGCAACACATCTTTACATAAACAAATGCAACACATTTTACATAAACAAATATTCCACAACATAAACACATGCAACACATCTTTGCATAGTTAAACAGCTATTTCACAACAGTTGGATCCTCTGGAGCTGGATGTTGGGTGCTGGGAACTTAACTCTGGTCCTCTGCACGAGCTCACAACTTCTGGGGCAGTGTTTCAGCCCCAGGGATCATTTAGGGAAGCCACAGTGGGTGCCTGTAATCAAGTAGCCTGGCTGGAGCAGCACATGGGTTCATAGTTATGGCTAGCTGAGGGTGAACTTTCTTTCTTTTTTTTTTTTTTTTTTTTTTTTTTTGGTTTTTCGAGACAGGGTTTCTCTGTGTAGCTTTGCGCCTTTCCTGGGACTCACGTGGTAGCCCAGGCTGGCCTCGAACTCACAGAGATCCGCCTGGCTCTGCCTCCCGAGTGCTGGGATTAAAGGCGTGCGCCACCACCGCCCGGCGAGGGTGAACTTTCTATTAGTTACTTTTCTAGTACTGGGACAAAATGTCTATGGAAGCAACCTGAGGAAGGGTTTATTTTGGCTGACAGTTCGAGGGACACATGGTAGAGGAGGCATGGTGGCCAGGAAGTTGAGGCTGGCTTTGTTGCATCTATAGTCTGAAAGTGGGGAGACAAAACTGTCCAGGACCCTACATTCAGGGTGGGTTTTCCTTCTCAGTTAACCCTTTCTGGAAGCATCCTCACAGACAAACCTACAGGTGTGTTTCCATGGTGATTCCAAAACCATCATTAGCCCCTCCCCATCCCCATGCGATGTATCGGCCCCTAATCCGTTTACTATATGGATCCCAGAGACAGTCCCGACTTCCAGAGAATTGTCAGGGGCTTGTGTGAGATCCAGCCCCTTGTGAGACGCCAAGCCTGGACCGATACCCTGGTCTCTTGTCCCCAAGTGTCTGTTCTCTTCACCGTGTCATTTATCAGATAGTGTGAGCCGGGCCTGGGAACGTGAGAATGAACAGCCCACAGAGTGTTGGGGCCTCTCAGAAAGGACAGCGTTGGGGGTGCTCAGCCCTCTCTGTGCTCCCTTTCCTGGGAGTGGCAGTGATAATTCAGTGTCTCTTGCAGGACTGTGCCTCGCCAGAGAGCAGTGGATCCCCAGACCCCAAGAGACCGGCAGCTTCTGAGGCCGCTTCGGGAAGCCAGGAGCGGCTGGACTTCAATCGCAACTTACAAGAAGGTAGACTGCTTGCCCAGTCAGAGGTGAGGTCGGGCCTGGTCTCTGGTGGGCCCTCACCCGGCCCTTACCCTGCCTTCTTCCAGTTGTACCGGCCATTGAGAAGCTGCTGTCCAGTGACTGGAAGGAGCGGTTTCTGGGAAGGAGCTCTGTGGAAACCAAGGATGTCAAAGGTGCGGGGCCTGTGTGCAGAGAGCAGGGGAGGGCACATCACCCAGAGCCTTTTCCCTTCTGTCCAGGGCACTCTGGGGAGATAGGGCCGTGCCTCATGCACCTGCCCTGTGTCTTGACTCCCACCTGACTCTGAAGTTTATCGCCATGCCTCACCTGGGAGTCTCTAAGCAGTCGTCTGGCCCATCCCCAGGCTGGAAGCAGATCCCATGGGATGGATCTAGGCTCTCATTAGGTCCCCTTGGGACTCGAGGCTCATCATCTAACCTTCCAGGCCGCAGTCTGAAGTGAGCTGAGAGTTGCCACTCACTGTTGGCGCTTGAGGCTAGACTTCCAGGAACGTCCTGAGGGCTGCTGCGTACCTCCTCAGGGTGATCATTTTTCTCAGTGTTGTCGAGTACACCCACAGTGGGAGCTTTAAATCCATGCTTATGCTCCCCCCCCCATTCACTGACTGGGAGCCCCAGAGATGGAGGCCTGAGCCTCGGCATTTTCCAGAGGCATCCTGACTATACATGGTCCCCAGTTAAGCTCTTAGGAATAAACTGCCACATCAGACCGCCGGGTTGGAATGGAAGGCAGGAACGTGAGCAGACACTGTCAGATCCTAGACAAACAACTTTCCACACATGAGCTCGTTCATCCTCAGACTAACCCTTTGAAGTAACTGCCACTGTGCCAAACAAAAGATTTTTTAAAAAATCCCTTAAAGTACAGAGAAGTTGGGCACCGGGCTGGCGGGATCCTGGGACAGAGAGGCTGTTGGATGGGTGAGTGGGCAGGTAGACAGGTGAACTAACTCTCCGTGGTGGCATTTTACTGCGAGCAGGGACCCAAGAGAGCCTGGCTGAGAAGGAGCTTCAGCTTCTGGTCATGATCCACCAGCTGTCCGCCCTTCGGGACCAGCTCCTCACGGCCCACTCGGAGCAGAAGAACATGGCCGCCATGCTGTTCGAGAAACAGCAGCAACAGATGGAGCTGGCCCGGCAGCAGCAGGAGCAGGTGCCTGTCCATAAGAGGAGCCGAGGTTCTGAGAACTGGTGGCTCCCCTGCCCCCCACCCCCCACCCCCCTGCGCTCGTCACTTGGCCTCCTGGGGACGCTCAGGGTTAGGCTGGGGCAGGCGCTGGAGGAGGTCCAGGGCCTGCTGTGATTCCCTTGTCGACTCCATGCCTTACCAGATTGCCAAGCAGCAGCAGCAGCTGATTCAACAGCAGCACAAGATCAACGTCCTCCAGCAGCAGATCCAGGTGACGGTGGCGGGTGTGGGCAGAGGGTGGCACGGGCAGAGAGGGTGGCACTGGCCGGCAGAGCCACTGGGGAAGGGGGCTGAGGAACAACCCCCCCCCCCCCCAAGGCTTGATGAAGAGGCCATACTTTGTCTCCAATTCCCTCTGATTCTGGAGTCCTGTTTTTAGGGGGTGACCCCAGAATGTCTCCCCCTGCTCCCCATTGAGACTCAAGGACAAGGAGATGGGCTCACGGGTGTGATATGGGGTCAGATGGATCCTTTGAAAAATTGCCCCCCCTACTCTATGCCCTGTGCGTGCCCACCCCACCTCGGGTCCCGGGCGGACCCCCACCTCTGGGCAGCTCTTTAGGTCTCCAGTGACTTACAGTGGGTTTCTTTGCCTTCAGCAGGTTAACATGCCTTACGTCATGATCCCAGCCTTCCCCCCAAGCCACCAGCCTCTGCCTGTCACCCCTGACTCCCAGCTGGCTCTGCCCATTCAGCCCATTCCGTGCAAGCCAGGTGAGCCGGTCAGGGAAGGGCCGCCGCAGAGGCTGCTGCCTCGAGATGAGAGAGGAGCCGAGACCCGCTCTTTATCCATCAGTCTGCTCAGTGGGCTTTCTGGGACACAGTTTGGGGTCTGCCCGGTAGAAACGTAAGTCCTTTCTGAGCTTGGCTGGGAGGATGGCCAAGGAAGAGCGTAATGCAAAGCACAGAGAATCTCAAGAGAGAGAAGGCTAGAGAAAGGCCTGGGGAGGCTCCCTGAGGAGGGGGCACTTGATGATTGGGTCCTGGAAGGGGGAGGTGAGAAAGCGAGGGAGAAGCTGGAACTGGGGTTGGGGGCCGAGGGAAAAGAGGTTGCGAAGGTGTGTGAGAATGACGGATGCGGGATGCTATGGAGGACTGGAGCATGGGTTCTGGGAAGTGGATGCGTTGGAATCCCTGAGCAGTGAGTGCGCTGTCTCTGGCCGTGGGTAGTGGGAATGAGGGTGACTGATGGGATGATCCCAATGATTTCTGGGGATAGTGGCAACAGACAGAGTTGGGGACAGGGCAGACACGCTGCCTGTAACTGTCCCAACAGGATGGGTAGCCATGAAGACTACTCCTGGTCTACCTACCCTTCCTGTTCCAAAGCCCACGACAGAGTACAAGCTGTCTGCCGCAAAGCCAACCTTGTTTGCCAGCTGGGTTCATGGTCCTCCTCATATCCTCATACCTTAAAACCCCATCTCCACCCTGGCTGGAACAGAGTGCCCTGACACACCCCCTGTGGGCCCTTATCTCTGCCTGCCATGGGGCTAGTGATTTGTATACAGGCTTATCTCTGCTGAATTGCCACACCCCCTCGCTTCCAAGCCTAGTGAGAGAGGGTAAGTAGGAGAGAGTTGTATGGGCCAAGGGTAGGTTGTGGAGTCTAGAAGACCAGGTTTCAAATCCTGGTGCTGCCTTTAAATGGCCTCATGGGCAACCCACTGAACCTCTAAGTCCTGTTACCTTATCTGCGGCGATCTCGCAAGAACCCTAACTAATACACCTGTAAAACGAGACAGATGTTTTGAGCGCCTTACACACCACATGCCCTTTATCATATTCCTCCCAACACAGTTGCTGTGCCCCCTGCACTCAGCGGGCACAAGACCAGAGCGTGCCCTCCCTTGCATGTCCCATGGGAAACTCCTTAGGTTGGAAAGGGCAGGCGTGGCCATCAGCCTGCGGGGGGCCATGGAGGAAGAGGGGATAGATGGTCCCCTGTGCTGCTTGAGCCCGATGAGAACAGAGCAAGTGGGGCCTGCTCTAGGCTCAACCCACCTACATATGTCATGCCTGGGACCTCTATGACATGTACTGCAGGCACCGGTTGTTCTGGGCTCATCTGGGACTCTGCCCCTGGCTTCTCTTTCCACAGTGGAGTACCCGCTGCAGCTGCTACACAGCCCTCCTGCCCCTGTGGTGAAAAGGCCCGGGGTGGCCACCCACCACCCCCTGCAGGTACTCCCCTGACCGCTGCCTCCCGGGGTGCCCTCATGCTCTCTTTTCCTCTCACTCTTCACCTCTCGTCTGCTCTGGAAGGTTGCTAGTCTCACTTTCTCCCTGAGTCCTGTCTGTCCCGTGATTGGGGGCGCGGTGTGGGGGGGTGTCCTCCTTTGGTGTCTCTCACTTTCTGACTTTCTGGGTCCCCAGGAGCCCCCCCAGCCATTGAACCTCACGGCCAAGCCCAAGGCGTCTGAGCTGCCCAACGCCTCCAGCTCCCCCAGCCTGAAGATGAACAGCTGTGGGCCTCGCCCCTCCAGCCACGGGGCTCCCACGAGAGACCTGCAGTCCAGCCCCCCCAGCCTGCCTCTGGGTAAGCTTTTCTGTCTGCTCTCACCCAGGAGGACAGTTGAGTCAGATGCCGCCGCCGGGGGCATGAGCCTTCCTTTTCTCAGTTCCAGTTTGGGGTTTTAAAAATTCTAAAGCACTCCATCACTGAGCTCCACTCCAGCCTCTGCATTATTCCTCCTCCTCCTCCTCCTCCTCCTCCTCCTCCTCCTCCTCTTCTTCTTCTTCTTCTTCTTCCTCTATCTGCATGTCTGACTTTATCCCAGAAGAGGGCCTCAGATCCCACTATAGATGGTTTTGAGTTCAAATCCCATGTAGTGCTGGGATTTGAACTCAGGACCTCTGAAAGAGCAGCCAGTACTCTTTAACTGCTGAGCCATCTCTCCAGCCCCCTCAGCCTCTGCATTCTTAAAGCCAGGGTCTAGGCTTGCTCAGAGGAGGCCTCCTTCCATGTCCCATTTGTCCCCCAGAACCGGGTTGGACAGGTTCGGGCCACTGAGTGTTACTTCATTCCCAGCCCCTTAGCACCATGCAACAGGCCGTCCCACAAGGGTGTGTGGGAATGGGCAGGGAGGGTGCCACCACAAGGAGCTCCTAGGAGGGACATGGCAGGAAGTGTAAGAAGTGTGGGCGGCTCCTGGGATAAGGCCCTCAGGTCCCCCACCCTTCACTGTCCTCCCTCTCCAACAGGCTTCCTGGGTGAAGGGGATGCTGTCACCAAAGCCATCCAGGATGCTCGCCAACTGTTGCACAGCCACAGTGGGGCCTTGGAAAACTCCCCCAGTACCCCGTTCCGAAAGGTATGGGCCACACTTCCTCTTCCCAGAGGACGGGAGCAGGTGAGAGAAGGTGTAGACAGGGTGAGACAGGAGGTCCTGATGTACAGGTTGTCACCTGCAGGACCTCATCAGCCTGGACTCCTCCCCAGCCAAGGAACGGCTGGAGGAGAGCTGTGTGCACCCGCTGGAGGAAGCCATGCTGAACTGCGACATGGACAGTAAGGGCTCCGGCACTGGGCACCACTTCCTTCCGCTAGGGCTGTGTCTGTCCCAGATCCCTTCTCTCCCTCCTTTCTTTTTTGGTTTTTCGAGACAGGGTTTCTCTGTGTAGCTTTGCGCCTTTCCTGGAACTCATTTGGTAGCCCAGGCTGGCCTCGAACTCACAGAGATCCGCCTGGCTCTGCCTCCCGAGTGCTGGGATTAAAGGCATGCGCCACCACCGCCCGTCCTGGCATGCATCCCCACTGTGCCCAGGGGTCACATCCCCACTGTGTCCTTAGGTCTGCCTTCCAGTATCTTGTGGCTACTCTTCGGGGCCCTGCTGTGCCTGTTCTCTGGCTGTGGTGGGTCTCTGCTTATTGCTGGCCATTGTGTTCCTCCTCATCCTCTGCTTCCTGCCTGAGCTGAGCTGACCTCTGCGTGAGCCTCCTCGGTGCCTCCTGGTGGTCATGCCGGGGATGTCTCTGCCAGCCCCAGAGCAGCTGCCTGCCTGACTCTGTCTGCCCACTCTCCAGGCGCCCGCCATTTCTCTGAGTCCCGGAACAGCAGCCACATCAAGAGACCCATGAATGCCTTCATGGTGTGGGCCAAGGATGAGCGGAGGAAAATTCTCCAGGCCTTCCCAGACATGCACAACTCTAGCATCAGCAAGATTCTTGGTAAGGGCCAGGGGATGGGTCCTCTACAGCTCAAGGGGTCAGCCCAGGGGTCATAGTTCAGTAGAACTGGGTTCCAGGAGCCAGCTGGGTCTACTTAGGGCTTGCTTGGTGATATTTCATGCCTTGTTAAACCCTGGTAGAATCTTAGAGGGTGTAGGAGTTGAGATATGATGGGCAGCTGGATCCTAGGACCTTGTACCAGTGCGGGCTCTTCCGATTGCTTCGTCCCTTGGGACTTTGTGTGTTCCTTACACCCACATAGCCCCAATGCCTCCTAGCCTGTGCTGTGGCAATAGATGGGAGATTGGTATTCTGGACCATCAGTACCAAGACTTTAAACGTCACATTGTGTCTGAGACTGAGGAGCGGGCAGGGCAGACAAGGCTGAGTGAGGGTGATGTTTTCATGGCTGAGCCCTCCCGTAACAGCACAGGTTTATTGTCTGGAATACCAGGGTTTTCTGTGGGAGACTGCTAGGAGACCAGCTCTGACCTACTCCCACCTTTTGAAGGGTTCTTAGGTAGAGGAGAGAGGAATTAAGAAATGACAGAAAGAGAGACCTAACCAATGAGGAGAAAGACAGAAACACGGGATAGCCTCAGGAGGGTCTGGGTCAATACCCACCAGCCTTGAAGTTTATTCAAAAGGGCTTTTTATAATATGCCAAGCGACGGGGCAAAAGACTTCCCCCTTGCAAGTTCAAAGCACACCGTACAGCCAAGTCTAGACCCTTCCAAACACCCGGTAAACACGCCCATGGTCAAATCATCTCCTTATGCAGCTCTGCTGGGTAGACAAGCCCAGATTCTCCGACCCTGAGTCAGTTCTCACTAGGAAGCCTCGGTGGACTCCCACAGTTTTGTTTTCGCTTTGTCGTACTGGGGGTGCAGCCTCGGGCCTGGCACACGCTAGACAGGTGCTCTGCCACGGAGTTGCACCTCACACTGACTCTGGATACTTGGTGGCCTGGAGTGGCTTCTCTCTTGTGAATGCCCTTGGGAAGACACCTGTCAGGGATGGGAGTTGTTCAGCATGAGGGTGGCGCCGACTACCTGTCATTACCAGTCTCTTCCATTCCCTTTGCCCAGTGTCCACACTGGGCCAGGCCCTTGCTGAGTGCTTATCACCTGTATCACCTGTTGATCCCACTTGGGGGCCAACATCCAATCAGGGCTTCTAGGGCCTGTGGCATTCAGAGAGTCTGGCCCTGAGTTCTTGCCTGGGCTTGGATCAGGCTCTCGCTGGAAGTCCATGACAAACCAGGAGAAGCAGCCGTACTACGAGGAGCAGGCCCGCCTGAGCCGGCAGCACCTGGAGAAATACCCCGACTACAAGTACAAGCCAAGGCCTAAGCGCACCTGCGTGGTGGAGGGACGGCGGCTGCGCGTGGGCGAGTACAAGGCCCTGATGAGGACGCGGCGCCAGGGTGCTCGCCAGAGCTACGCCATCCCGTGAGCAGGCCTTCCCTGGTGGCCAGAGGCAGCTTTGTGGCTGCTTGTGAGAGGCTGGGTTCGTGTGTGGCTGGCCTTTGTGTGAGGCAGGCGGGGCTCGTGTGGCTGCCAGCTGGGGCATCTGTGTGCAGACTTGTGTGTCATCTGCTTGTGCGTGATTTCTGATGGATAACGACTGTCTGTGAGACTCTGGTGACGGGGTGGGGGGGTTGGGTCAGACCCAGGATGACTGTGGGGCACCTGCCGCCTGACAGACAAATGCAGGGCCGATTCAGACGCACTGCAAGGATGCAGCCCGTGGGGGGAAGGCTCCTTAACTATAACCCTGGCAAGCACAGCAGTGGAGTCCTGTCGACGTGGACACTAAAATGAAATAGAATTCATGTACCACCGTCCAAGAACACACCCATGGCTCTAGGTTTTCCAGCTAAAGCTGACAGTTCATTTGGCTATCAGGATGCACACACAGGGGGCCAGGGTGTGACAATGACTGACCCAGCCAGGACAGGGGGTGAGGCCCGGAGGGCAGCTCGTGGGGAAGGCCGGGAGGGCGCAGGGGTACGTCTGTAACTGCACCTTTTCTCTGCCTCTCAGCCCGCAGGCTGGCCAGGCACAGGTGAGCTCCTCAGATGTCCTGTTCCCTCGGGCAGCAGGCATGCCCCTGGCACAACCGCTGGTGGACCCCTATGTCCCCCAGGGCCTGGACCCCAACATGCCCGTCATCATCAATACCTGCAGCCTCCGGGAGGCAGGGGAGGGCACAGAGGACAGGCACTCAGTGGCTGATGGAGAGATGTACCGGTACAGCGAGGACTCGGACGAGGAGGGCGAAGAAAAGAGTGATGGGGAGTTGGTGGTACTCACAGACTGACCCCCAGCTCGCTGGGCCTGGCCTGTTTCCACCGGGGAAGACCCCGTTCTTCCCAACCCGACGGGCACAGCCAGCCAGCCAGCCTCAACTACGTTGGTACTTGGACTTGGGTGTGCCCAGGTGATGGGCGAAGCTGCACACTTGTAGATACATTCCCAAGGTGTGTGTGTATGTGTGTGTGTGTGGTGGGGGGGGTTCTCCTCTTCACCACACCTTCGGGCACATCTGAGGAGTTAATGGCTTGGCTGGGTGGGATTCCTGTGGCTGTGATAGGCCAAGTCGGCTGAGGTCTTTGGCCCTTGGGGCTAACGGCCAGGGAACACTGGATGCACTCCCCCTTGTAGGTCTAGCTGCCCGAGGGGACGGCAGGTACACACACCTGTCCCCCAAACAGGCTCTGTTTCCATTTTGTCATGGCCAAACCAGCCAATTGTGGGACAACATCTCTGTCCCAGAAGCTCCCAGGTCACTCCTCTGTCACCTGGATCACTTCATGCTTCGTGCAGAAGGGTCTGGCGAGTCTGTCTTTGTCTTCCAAGTCCACGTGCCTCTGGCTGCTGCGTGTGTGTGTGTGTGTGCATATGTGCACGTGTGTGCATCCGCGTGTTCAGTTTCATCTCGCCTCTCTGGGCAGAAGGTGGCTGCTGTGAGCCAGGCATGTTGATGAGCTCTGTGGTGTGTCTCTTGATGCTTCTCCGGGGGCCTCTCTCTGTGCTTCTTCGTGCCCAAATTGCTACCTCTTCGTCAGTCTGGTGTCTCAGGTTCTCTGTGTTCTCACCCACTGTGCATTTCTGTCTCCATTGTTCCTCCATCTGTCCCCGCTCCCACCACACCCACTGGGTCCTCTGGGTGTCCGCAGGGCCCAGCCTGCCCCTGGGACTGGCAGTTTCCTGACCCCATGCCGACCTTTTCCTCCCTCCTGACTTTGCCAGTCAGTTCCCACGGAGCCATTTTTAGCTCCCACTACTGTGAGAGTGTGCCTCGGCTTCCAAGGGGCATTGTCCTGCATCCCAACCTGACTCCCAGGCATGGGGGCCAGAGGACTGATGGCTCCTCTTTTTGTCAGTGACAGCCCTGCAGAGGGGACCCCGGCCCTGCAGAGGGGACCCCAGCTGGTCTCCGTCCCTTCGTGAGCTTGGGGTGGCTTCCTTCCTCCCCCACTCTGTCCTGGGGAATGAGCTTCACTCCTGATAAGCTTCCTGGTTGTTTCCCAAGAAAATCAAAGACCATTAGCACCTAGCTCCCAAAGATCTGGAACAGTCCCCGAGCCAGGAAGATGACCCCAAACCCCACGTGGCCAGGTGCCCCCCCCACCCCGTGACCCCATTTCTCTCCAGACTGTTTCTTTTTATGACTGTAAACATAGATAGTGCTTTATTTTGTTACTAAGAAGATAATGATGAATAACTTAACCAGCACACTTGTTTTCTGATGGCATAATAAAGACCAACCATTTCAGAATTCGGACCCTTGTTATACAGAGGCTGGCCTGAACCCGGTCCCAAGTCTGGCGCCAGCCAGGCACTGCTGCCCCCTGGCGGCAGCGTATGGGAGCATCAGGCAAAGTGTCTGGAAGAAATGGCTTTGGCCAGGAGACCAAGGGCAGGCCTGTGGTGACACACTGATGCTGAGGGAGGCAATGTGGTGGCCTGGAGGAACAGTGTAACCCTGGCTCAGCTCTCCCCTTTGGGCTACACTGTCCCACCTAAAAGCAAGAGACTTAAACTTCTCCAGATTCTTACCCCCTCTCGGGGAGGGAGCCCCTTGAATCCAGTGAAAGCTGTGGGTCCATCCCAGAAGAGCCATCACACACAGACACCCAGGAGCTCTCTTGTGGGCTCCCTGCCATACTTACTAAGGGAGCAGGGTCCAGAATGATGTTCTTCAAGACTCCGTGACCTTGCACTTTGAATGGGGACTTCAAAGGCATAGTTGTGACATTATTATCGCTGGAGACAGGGCTGGATGAAAGACCAAAAGTCTTCAAAATGAATGGGATTCTATAAGACAAGTCTTGGTTGAATTAATACCATCATCATGGTATTGGGGGGGGGGGCAAAACTGATTAGCATCTCTTATGAAAGAGATGAGCCAGATTAACAGGGTTATGTCCTCAATGAGGAGAGGCTATGGGGCAGCGTATATTCTACACAGGCTTAGTCCAAAGTATATCAGTCTAGTCCAAACCCCCTCTTTAGAAAAAGCCACTGTCATCTGGAAGGGCCCAGAGTCAGCCTGTGAGAACAAAAGAAGCCTGGTAGGTATATCACTAGAGGAATGGTGAGAAGAGGCCAGGGTCATCCAGTCCACAAACGGGGCAAGAGGGAGGAGAGTGTGTTCAGTTTTGGGGTAGCAAAGACAGGTGCTGTTGTATGTATTGTGAGTTAATCCTGAGCTGATAGTCTCGAAGATCACTATTTTGGCTGCATATACAGACGCACACACTTCAGTAAAGACATTCAGAAGCAGAGGGAGCTTCAGAACCCAGGAACTAAGGGTTCCGACTTGGCACTGCAAGGGGGGGTGTGTGTCTTATTTTTATGTGCTGGTGAGACGGTAGGGCATGGTGGGATTAAGACCACACACTGCCAAGAGCTAGAGGCAATGAATCGGGGTGTCCTGATTCCTGGCCCTGTCCTTCAGCGCTCTGGCTGCTTGTCCTCGATGTCCTCGCTGTCCTCACACCTTGGCACCATGCCCAGCCCTGAGGCAAGGGCCAACAACAAGAGACCAGCCGAGGGTTCTGGAAACTTCTTTGGCTTCTGCCTGGCCCGTTTAAGTGGCCACTAGAGGGAGCTGCTTGGCTCAAACCCATAACTTCACTCCAAACTCCCACTTCGGTCAAAACTAGATCTTGTAATCTCCCTGGGATTCCTTCTAGTCCCGAGTTCCCCATTACCCTGTGGCTGGTCCTCTGCAGCCTGGAGGGCTGGGGCCCTCACTGCCAAAGGTATTCCAGGTACCTTTGTCCACAGACCTCATCCAGCTGCTGTGCCGTGACTGCCCAAGTCCTCTGGCCAACTGGAACCTCACCCCTTCCTGTGAGAAGCAGGGCGTGACCAGGTGGGCAGAAACAGGGACAGTGTGTTCTGATTGTTACCAGGAAAGCTAGCCACAAGCTCACCTGGCCCCCTCTCCACAGGCCAAAGGTCAGACCTGGAAAGATGGCCTTGGCCTGGAGCGCCTGCCTAGGATGACAGGAGAGAAGTGGGCCTCAGGCTTTGTGGGGAAGGAGTCCAGAGTCCTTCTCCTCCTCCTGCCCACCCCAGCTTCTCCCTCAGCAGCAGACCTGTCTATAGGGTGAGGCCACAAAGACCCTAGGAGGCTACGCATTGCACAGGGACTACTCTGCCCTTGGTTCCAGGGTGACTGGAAATAAGGTGGGTATTGCTACGTAGTTATGCCCATGGCCCCGAGTCTACAGGTGACCTTGGGGACCCCTCCTTCCCCGGCTCTGTTACCATTTGTATGCCTAGGCACGTCTTTTCCCCCAGGTCCTCCATCAGCACACTCCGGAGGGCCTACCTCCACTGGAGCATGTGACCTTGAAGGCCCTAGCTGCCAGTGTCTACTAAAGCTGTTGCCATGACGCCTGGCGCATTTGCAGGCAAATGCCAAACCACCAGATTCTTCCCCACCCCCGCTCCAGCCAGCTGCTCCTGGTCAAGACAGGAGTGTTGGAGTGTTCTCACTTGAGTTTCTGCTCTGGCCTCCTGAGGAGGGCTGGCTGCAAAAACCATCTTGCCTGCTGCCAGACAGAGTGGTTCTCCCCGATCCTGATAGCTGAGGGCCTGAGCAGACTGCGGAGGGAAGCCTGAGTGTTCTATTTCGGGTTCCGCGGGCCCTTCCCTTGATTGGCTTAAGTTCTTGGAGTCTGTCTGCATCATGGCGCCCCTGCAAGCAGCGTCCTGCAGAGGCAACTGCCAGGATGTTAAAAGTGGAGAGGCTGTGGACGAGAGCATCAGCCTTGCCCGGGTCTGCAGGATGCCGGGGCAAGGCTGGCATCAGAGGTGCCCCAGGCTGCTGTGCCTTAACTCGGAGCAGGAGCGACCCCAAAGGCAGAGCAGAAAGAAAACTGAGCCTGGCCCAGCTCCTCCACACATATAACAGTCACACTCCCAGCTACTGTCCTTTGGAGACCACATTCCAGAAACAAACCTTTTAATGCTGAAAAACATAATTTACAAATGAATCACAGTGGGGGCCTAGAGCAGGCCCCCTAGGAACTGTAAGGTCTGGGAGGCGGAGACAGCTGCTAACACTTTGGGTATCTGGCCACGCCCCCCTAGCCTCCGCTGCTCATTCCCAAATGGGAAGACTTCGTCGGCTATGTGCAGGGTAGAAGACAGAGATGGACAGACAGATCCTTGGAGGGGAGAGAGGCGGAGGCTGCTGCTGGCTCTGGTACCTGCCACCCGATCCAAGACCATGCCTACTCCAGGTCTGCCGTTCCCTCTCCTCTGCAGGGGCCGAGCAGAAGCACAAGGGGAGCTGGGGAAGGGGTGATGGGATGGCGTCTGGCTTGGAGAAGTTAGCCGCTCAGATGAGGCAGCTGCTGGCAGAGCTGGCAGGCCTAGCTGGGGGCTCTGTTCCCAAGGTGACAAGCGGAGCTAGCTTCCTGCTGGCTTGGGGCTCAACACCTCTCACCTAGGGCGGACGCAGCTCAGCTGGAGGCTGGGGCACCAGAGGTAGAAATGAGCCCTTCCCCTCCCCTACTGGGGAGGGTCAAGGGCAAACTGAGGCAGCCCAAGCTCCAGCAGGCCTGGGCTGGCAATGGTGTGCTCTCAAAGGGTGATAGCCCAGGCCTCAGCCATCTGCAGGCACTTCCTCTCCAAGCCTGTCAGGGTGAAGAGGAACTCGCACCCCAATGCTGGGTTTCAGCCCCTCCAAACAGGAAAATGAAGTCTTCATTGGCATCCACCGGGGAGCCTTTACCATGGCCGCCCACATTCCCCAAAGGTGCCTATCGCAAGGCAGGAGGGTACCCTGGAGAACAGGTCTGTCTGGCATCAGAAGCACACGGAGGAGCAGGAGGCTGGTCACTTTGGCATCTCCAAGGCCAACACCTGAGGCTTCACTTTAAAGTACTGGCTGAATCGGATCACCGCATACCTGCCAGGGAGGACAAGGAAGTGGATGAGCGGGGAGGCTGGCATCCTAGGGAGGACTCTGCCTGCCAGCTCAAGCCCATCGAGGTCTGGGCAAGTCAACTCTTTTGTTTGTTTTTGAGACAGGGTGTCTTTGTGTAGCCCCAGTTGTCCTGAAACTCACTCTGTAGACCAGGCTGGCCTCAAACTCACAGAGATCCGCCTGCCTCTGTTGAGTGCTGGGATTAAAGGTGTGTGCCACCACCACCCGGCTAGGGGCAAATCAACTCTTAAAATTTTTTCACTATCATTTCATTTTCTTCGGTCAGACTGGAGCAACCCTCCCAAAGATGTGTTTGGTGTTTTGTGTTTATTATTTTGTAGTGCTGATGTGCCTGTTGTTTCACAGTGGACCTCCAGAACTTTTTAATCTTTTAAAGTTAAAACTGCTAACTTGCGTCACTTTCTGGTCCCAGCCCAGTGACCGCCCTGCTCTGTCCCTATGCACGTGACCCTCTGAGTCCTAAGGTCTGTCTTTGTGGCTGCCTTATTTCGCTTAGCAAAATGTCCTCAAGGTTCATCTGCATAGCACGTGACCAGATTCTGTCATTCACTCATCAAGTGACGACACTTGGCTGCCGTGAGGGCCAGTGTCTAAACAAACACTACTGCGAGCCCTTGCTTCTGTCCTCTGGGACATACACGCAGGAGGGGGGTTGCTGGATGGGATGGGAGTTGTATTTTTTCGGTGTTTGAAGGAACATTCTTCCCTAGAATGGCTGGACCAGTTTGCGTTCCCAGTTTCCCACATCCTTGCACATGCTGTTCATTTTCTGCCTTTGCTGGTGTTCTAACATGCTCCGGTGTGTGCCTGTGTCTGAGCCTGTGGAGTGCTGCATACAGCTGAGGGTAGGTGGGGACAAATGGAGGCATTCATTCCCCGCCTGCAAGGACAAAGAGGTCTCATTTCATGGGCTCCCAAGCTGTCATGGTAAGAGTTTAGATACGGTCCCTAAGTCTAAGGAAGAGGTGGATACGAGGGGGCAGTATGGGTAGATCTAAGTCACCCCAGTGATCTGTGCACTCGGTAGCTCCTCTTTAATTTTTAAAAATATTATTATTGTGTGGGCGTAGGGGGTGTGTGTGCCACAGTACACGTGGAGGTCAAAGGACAACTTTCAGGATTCAGTTCTCTCCTCCCACTTTTACGTGGATTCTGGGGGGGTCAAACTCAGGTCACCAGGCTGGGCCATAAGTGCCTTTACCCACCAAGCCCTCTCATTGGCCTTCCATCCTTTCACACTGGTTCTCCGGCCTGTCTGGCTGTTCCAGGCTCTGGCTAAGCTGGCAGCAGCAGAGTGGGCCCTGGTGCTG